ATCAAAATACCCGGAATATTTACATGTCAAGAGCTGCTAATGCTTCAGGAAGCACCGAAAATAGGATTATTCGCCGGCTACTTTGAAACAATACTATTACATTCAGTGGATGTTTATCAACATATAAATGTCTCAGAGACTAAATATTGGACTGATTTGGATTGCCTGGACTCTTGGCAGTCTAACTACACCGTTTTTGTTGGAATATTATGAACCAGTGGACTAACAGGTGCTTTATAAGTGAGTACAGACCTTACTGTTATTGTTTTTTTTCGATGTTGGCAGCCTGACATAAACACTAATTGTACCTGCTATGTTGATTCTATCTTGAAATGCTTTACATCGTTCGAATCACGAGAATCTCAGCTTTCCAAATATATATAACATGTTTAGCTTCTTTTTTGATAAGTTTTTGTACGTAACCAATTAGTCCCCTAAACCATCCAATGTACCGTGGGCGGTACGTCCGACTGCTAACAGGACTGTGCTTTACTACTGCCATATATGAGCTACTGTGTAGAGGTCTGGGGAAACACAAACAATAGCTATAATACAGAAAAGGGCCATCAGATTAATAAATAATGCAGGGTATAGGGGTCATACAAATGGACTATTTTTCAAAATGCAAGCTATTAAATTCCAAGACTTGGTGGAGTTTAAAACAGCGCAAATAATATATAAAGTAAGAAATAAAATGCTTCCAAAAGAAAGAGAAGGTGGGTATAACTTAAGAGGGAATTTAAAAATACAACGTGTTAGACATACTTTTAAAAGTTGTTCTATCTCTATAGCAGGAGTTAAAGTATGGAACAGTCTAACAGAAGAAATTAAAGAAAGTAACAAGATAAACCAGTTTATAATGAAATATAAAAAAACACATTTTTAACAAATATAAGAATGAAGAAAACAGGGTTAACCCAGGGCGGTAATGTTGTTCGTAATAGTGTTTTAGTTTGTTTGTCCCATAATTTGTGAATCTGCACCACTCACTCCTTATTTATATGAAAGTAACTATACTGTGGTCGGGCTTGTTTATTTGTTTGTTTTGTCTTTGAGGCTAAAATTTAAGGCTAAAAGCAAATTAAATCAATGAGAGGTAAAATTTGAGGGGGTAATAATAATGGATTGGATTTATATAGCACTTTTCAAGGCACCCAAAGCGCTTTACAATACCACTATTCATTCACATACTGGTGGAGGCAGCTACGGTTGTAGCCACAGCTGCCCTGGGGCAGACTGACAGAAGCGAGGCTGCCATATCGCGCCATCGGCCCCTCTGGCCAACACCAGTAGGCAAGTAGGTTAAAGTGTCTTGCCCAAGGACACAATGACCAGGACAGAGAGCCCAGGGATCGAACCGGCGACCTTCCGGTTACAGATGCGATTCCCAACCCCCTGAGCCATGGTCGCCCTAGGGACCAATAAGTGTATACTTCCTTTTCAAACAAAAGAATGGAATGATATTTTGTAATGATTGTGGAGGCACATGTTTGGAATAAAAATGAACTGAACTGAACCTAAGTTTGGTCTCCTTGCCTTTGACCTCTCTTTGCCTGGTTCTGCCAGAAGTTTCTTCCTGTTAAAAGATAGTTTTTCCTTCCCAAGGTTGCCAAAGTGTTTACTTAGATGAGATGAGGTAAAGAACGATCTTTACCTTACAATATCAAGCGGCTTGAGGTGACTGTTATTATGATTTGGTGCAATCTAAGTTAAATTGAATAGAATTGAATATAATAACCAGAGATCTTTTACAGGGATCAAGAGATTCCCCCTGTAATCATGATTACTCACAGTCTTGCAGGTCCATTTGAGTGAAGTCAGCTTTAGTCTGCTTCTTCAGCCAGTAGGCGTCAACCATGTCGGGGCCTGATATTGTCCAACTCTTTATACTGGAGACCCTTTCTTGGCACTATGACAGTTACTGGTTCTTATGGCTGTTTAACTTGTAGCCAAGCATCTCACTGATCACTGCTGCCGTGGTGTAGATCAGCTGGTTAGTCTTAGTAATGGTGGTGATAGGTATTGCCCGTAGCACTGCATTCACATCATCTAGTACATCTTCTGAGGGTACTTCACGCTATGGAGGATCCAGGTTTCAAGTTTTGCCATGATCATATATATATAGATATCCTAGATATCTATATATCCTAGATATATAGAGATATAGAGATATAGATAGATAGTAGTGGTGCAACAATACACAAAATTCACGGTTCGATATTTTTTCGACACAAAAAAATGTTCATGCCTTTTTAATTTGTCATTTATTAAAATTATAAATATATATTTTAACTCAAAAGTACAGTTATAAATAAATAAATCTATCTGATGGAGAAATCACTCCTCTTTGGAAAAGAGAGTTTATTACAGAGAAATGGCTCTTTCCAAAATAAAAGCTATACTATACGCTTCTTCTGGGCTATATTCTCAGCAGCATATTAAACATATCAGGTCCCCATAAGGAGAATCCTGTGCTAACGGCTGTCTAAATGACTCGGGTAAAGTTTGTAGCATGCGTGCTTGTTGTTTTTGTCTGCTTCCACTTGTCTTTGCACTAGGATGATGTCAGCGTAAGTGTGCAGTCATATTCATTGTGTTCTCACTAGTGCTGTCAGCATTAATCTCGTTAAAATTACATTAACGCCATAACGCCGCAAATCTTCGTTAACGAGTTACCGCGGATCGCCCCGTGCATGGGGCTGGATAGCGTCAACACGTTAACAAGCTAACTTCGCTAACACACTATTTCCCACCAGTTGAGCATTGCGTGGCACATCCAACATACTGTTTTACTTTTGTCCATGACTCGCTTACATCAGAGTCATACTTCACATGAAAAGCAAAATAGTTCCAAATGCCAGATCTGAATGAGGGTGGGGGAGGTTCAATTTCAGGTAGCGTTGAGGCAGTTGCCATGTTGCAACGAGCTTAGCTTCTGTCTCGCTAGCTTGCGCTGCACTCGACTACTCCGCCTAGGCTGCACTGTCGAGCGCAGATCCACTGAGCTCTCAACACAGACAACATCGTCAGAAGAAAAGTTGATAAAATAAATTAAAAATTTTGTATTGTTCGATACATATGCGTTGTAATGAACCGCTGATCTGTACCATAAGTCATCCTTGGGGGGTTGTCGGAACTGTATGCGCAGTCGCACTAAGGACAGATGTGCTCAGAGGCATGCCCCGTAACGTGTATGGGAGCAGTCTGTCGCGGCAGGAATAAGTTGTACAAAGTCCATGTCAGTTACGATAATACTTTGATAAGTATGATAAGTGTGTTTCTAATGTAAGGTATGATGCTGCGTTTGCATTGTGAGCTATCTGAAAACCTTTTTATTCTGTACTTACATTACTTACATCCATGTGCTATTTTTTAGCTAGACATGTGTGTCATGCAAGCTAGCAGCACCCCATGAGAAACGGACCGAAGTGTTTAAGTGTTTACCGGAGTTTTGCACCCTTGGCAAGCGGACTGAGGTATGTGATGAGAGGTGATCTGTTGTTATATTTTATTTAACCGAACTGTGTAACCCCTTTTGTTTTATTTAATCTGTGACTGTATATCTCAGAATTACTTGTTTTGAACTTACCTGAATTAACTTAAGCTCATTGTTGTTATTGCTCATTGTTATTAGTTCAAAAAGTCCTGTATGGGTATCAATTTTTTCTTATTTTATAGTTTTCACGGTGCTCAACGTCCAGAGAATGAGCCGTGTGTGGAGAGGAAATAAATGGCTGCACCCGTTAGAGACTCTTCTGTCGTTCTTGATGCCAAGGGCTGCTACATGCGTACCAAACCGAAAGCACTGTATCGCACGGTTCAATATCGATACGAGTATTGTTGCACCCCTGATAGATAGATAGATAGATATATAGATATATTTTCTAAGGTATGCTGCATTTATTCATTTATTGCTGCCCTGTATACTTTGCTACTGTAAAAATATGAACTTCCCTCCATCTAGTTTTTTCCTGCTCACTGCTTACCACCAGATCACTGCACAAAAGGTCAGACATCTTGGTTTGCCTACTTCATCTCACGCCTTGACACTCCCGTGGTTGCTTCCCCCTCAGAGAGTACTACCCCCTGCTTTCTCAGTAAGCATTATCTCTAGTAAATACTCAGCTCACTTCAAATTTAATACTCACTCCCTTCCTGATTCCTGAGTCAATAAAGCCTTGTATTCTTGTGAAAACTACTGTCTGCCTTTGGATCCACACCACACCGCGCACCAGTCTCTCAGCCTTCTGACAGGTTGTGCACTTAATAAGCTCCAACTGTGAAAATCTGTCATCAATAGAAGATACCCACCTCTAAAAATAGCCAGTATATAGCAGGGGCCAGTATCTGTAGAACAAGTTGTCTGCCACTCAGAACATCAGTGGACTGATCCCCGACTCCTCTATGTGTGGAAGTATCCTTGGGCAAGAGCCCCGAGATTTCCCTGATGCATCTGTGGGGATGTGCATGTGAATTTTACATAACAAGTAGTCAAAGTTTATGACTATGACTCTTTGACTTATGCTGTATGATTAGGTAAATGCGACTTACACACCTGGCGAAGATCAAGGACAAAACTCAAGTATCTAGTCACTAATGTACAGCTGTTCAGCTCTTTTTCTAAAAGTTTGCTTTCACCAGACTGTAAGCATAGTAATCACCCAAAAGAATATCTCTCTCTTCTCTCTCTCTTGCTATATATATCTGTATATAGAGATATATCCAAAACACTGCTTAATTACTTTTTTTGTTCAATGTAAAAAAGTTGCTGTCTGGTTGACAAATTGTAACAAGGGCAAAAGTATATTCATGGTAAATGGACTGGTTCTTATATAGCGCCTTTCTACTATAACTGAGCACTCAAATTGCTTCATACAACTTGTGCTTTACACATCCAATCATCCACACACCGGTGATGGCAGCTACATTGTAGCCACAGCCACCCTGGGGCGCACTGACAGAGGCGAGGCTGCCGGACACTGGCGCCACCGGGCCCTCTGACCACCACCAGTAGGCAACGGGTGAAATGTCTCGCCCAAGGACACAACAACTGAGACTGTCCAAGCCGGGGCTCGAACCGGCAACCTTCCGATTACATGACGAACGCCCAACTCTTGAGCCACGATCGCACTTTGGCTCAAGCACTTTTTTCTTTGCTCTTTCCAGGTAAGTGCTTTTTATCAATCATCTAACATTCACACACATTCATACTCCAGGCTTTGAGGTCAATGTATTTTTTTTCTGATGACATTTTCACTTATTTTAAATATGAATTACACAGTGATATGGTCTCGTTCTAACGTAGCACCTCCCTACTCTATCTAAGCACTCAAACTGCTTTAAACAACATGTCTCATTCACCCGTTCAAAGAAGCACTTTTTTCTATGCTGAAGTGCTTTCTGTCTAACATTCACATTTATACTCTGATGGATACAGAAAGCAACTTAGTATCTTGCACAAACATATTTGGCAGGCAGACTAGAACAGGGATCGAAACACCAACCTTCTAATTAGTAGGTGGCCCGCTCTATCTCATTGGCTAGGATTGCATATTATTGCCTGTATGAGTCCTCATTTGTAAGTGTAACAAAACCTGTTTCATTCTCACCATTGGGTGAGATGTGGGCCTCGCCTCTCACCCTATGGTAGCTAGGATGGGTTCCAGGTTCAACAGTAAGTGCAGTCATTAAGTAAGGTGCGTCAATGTCGGAAAAAATGTGTGTCATTCCTCTAGCCTTTGCATCCCTCCTTCTCTTTCACCTCTGTCTGGTGACTTTCCTCTTTTCTCTTCTGTGCTTTGCTACCCAGCCTTCTTCTGTCTCTTCCTTCATTATGCCTCATTATTATCCTGATGAAGAGTAAGTAAGGCCATTCTTCCCTTCCATCCATGTCTCTGTCCCTCCTTTCTTTCCAGTTAAATAAACATATGGGTGGGTCTGCCTTCATGAACCTGCTCACCTCTGCTTTCTTGCCCTCCCTCCTCATGTTTTTCTGGCTCATTAGTATGCAAAAGAAACAATAATATTCCTTGATGTGCAATTTGTTCACCCTTTCCCTTCTGCTCTTTACTTTTTCTTCCACTGTAAACGAAGTCCATAATGTAATAACCAATACCAAAATTTAATTTCTCTGAGGCCATGTGGGAATAAAGAGTTAATGAGATCAGATAACAGATGTTGTTTCCAGTGGTTGTTTTTGCCCAGTCCATAGGGATTGTCTTTATTTTGCCTTTTTCAAAATTACACTACTCTTGTCTGACTTTATTTCACTTTTGAATTAAGGAGCAAAATGAAAAGAGGTTTCACAAATCATTAAAATCATATCAGTAAATAGAATTAGTACAAAATTGGTTATGTTGCATAGTTCAGTTTACTAATGTAAACTTGAAGTAGATAAATGACAGAGATGTAACCTGAGCCAACTGATCTTTAGGTCTTTATAACTCGTTAATTTCCGGTGTCAGAGCCAGACCTGAGCCTTAGTCATAGACTGTATTAAAAATGGCCACTATGACATTGCATAGTAGTCTGTAGATGATTGTATTCAAGTCTCAGGTTTGGCAAAATGTGGCAATATTTACAATATTTTTTCATATATTTATGATGAGATGGCTGAGCTTTGGTTTTATCAGTAAATACTAGTTTAGAGTATTGTGTCCATCCATACATCCATAAATTGTGTCATAAAACGTGATGCTGACTTTAGCTAAAAAAAGAACAAGCTTAAAACAAAAGCTGTTTACTGAAGTAACTAAACATACAAGAGTATATTTTAGTAAATCTAACTAGTTATCAAGATGGACTGTCAAATAACCTGTTTTGTGTGTGTGCGTGTGTTTATGTTGCTGTAGACTGTATTTTTAAAACAAGTCATTGTAATGAACTTGTTTTATAAATGCAGTCTGAATGTTTGTTTTATTTAAATAAAGGTTGAAAACTGAACAGAGGGTGAACATACTGACCAGGTGATTATATGTCAGGGTTGTTTTTGTATCTGCTGCCCCCGAGTGGCCAAATTAAGTTGGGTCAAATAAAATGACTGTCAACCAATGAAACGTCAACAATTATCAGCTTGTTTACTGGGCATTTGACAGCTGAAACTGGCTAACCTGTGTTTTTTGTGATTTTTTTTTTATATCTAAAGATTTAGTGTAAGATTTCTTGAGCCTAACCAGGCTCCTCGTTCACACAGCATGTCTATACCGTAATTAATAGAGGTCTCTCTCTCTCTCTCTAGGACCCGTATCACCTGCTGATTCCCCCAAGCCTTGACGTCAGCGCTATAACAAACCATCCTACCCGTTGTTTCTACGCATGCGCACAACAGGAAATTCAGTGGCGAAGCATCCTACCTCTGTGAATATGAGCTAGAAGCATAATTTTACAGCTAGAATTCAGTGGCAATCATCTTACTTTTGTTAATAACAGCTACACACATACCATGCTACCTTTGTGAATGTGACCTACAAGCATACTTTAACGGCTAAAATGAAGTGGCAAACCGTCCTGGCTTTATAATTACGAGCTACAAGCATACTCTGATGGGCAAAGTTAAGTGGCAAACCGTCATACCTACTTATATTTGTGCTGGAATGACCCTGTGACAGCAGAAATGTGCATAAACTACTTACAGTAGGACGTTTTGCCAAAGTAGGACGTTTTGTCAGAACCGGCACTCGGCGGCGGCTGTTCCCACAGGCGCAGCGTCTGGCTGCAGTAACAACACTGCTGGGACTTGCCCGACCGACTTTCGCATTCGACCTCCAAACAGCGTGAGGGACGGATACATCAAAACATTCATAGGACACCCACACACACCCTCCCCTTGTTTCGAGCCCTCTTCGCCTCTCCAGTCCCGCCATGGCGTCTGCTGTACCCGAGACGGAGGGGTCAGCGCGAAGCTCCCCACTGACACCGCTGAAGCTTGTCGGGCTGGTGTGCGTCTTCTTGGCGCTTTGCTTGGACATAGGAGCCGTGATGAGCCCGGCTTGGGTGACTGCCGACGACCAGTACTACCTGTCCTTGTGGGAGTCCTGCTGGAAGCCAGCGAGTAGCGAGAACTGGCAGTGCAGCAGCACTCTGGACTCAGGTAATGAATGGAAGGGGGTATCGATGTTGTTTGGGTTTATGAAAAAATAAATAAATAAAATCACCTGTTTCAGGTAAGATGTTAGAGCGTGGTTATCTTTTCTAATGTGCACTAACAGGAGCTTTGTGTAACAAAGAGCTGTTTGTAATAACAGCGAAAACTGATGCTGAAGCTGATCATAATAAAGGAGTTGTGGTGGAGAATACCCAGATCCTGTCGACTCTAATAGCCAGAGAAAGTTATCATCCTGGCTCGTACTCTGACTGCCCACTGCCATAAGAGAGCGTCCCCCTGACACAGCTCGCCAGTCTCTGTCTCTTCTGGGATCTCCAGATGAATTATTGTGAGGGTAAAGTGGATGTCTTATGTACGGTTAGAGCTCACTTCACAATGCGATAGCTTAAACGTGATAACTAAGATGTTGTTCAGCACACACGATAGCTGGAACCAACAAGTCAGGGAGCTGTATAAAATTACATTAGACTTAAAACAATAAAGATTAATGATCTGAAACTTACTCGACAACTATTTTTGATAATCTGAAAATAATATACTATTAAACTGCAAAACACCCACTAGCTTTTTATTCTTTACTGTAAGCATTTGTTTTCTTTGTCTGTTTTTTAGGCAATTAATTTGCGTGATTTCGAAAGTGCCACAGCTGTCACCTGCACTTATGGATGTTGCCACTTGTCAGTTCTAAATGAATTAATTTGTCAACAATATACAAAAAAGGAAGGTGTAGTGGAGGGGAGAAGTGCTGGCTCACAGCTAATGACTTCATCCTATCTCACTCTTTTAATTTTTATCCCCATTCTATAGTTGTTGGGAACGGGTCCTTGTTCTCAGGTCCAGGAGAGGTCTTGCACTTCTTGGCAAGAGAGTATTGGTTGATCATCAATGTTGGATTTGTTTCCAGGGCAACAACAGTTCACACGCATTGTTTTAACTAAATTGAAAGTGGCTGTATTTACAGCCAGTGTGAAAGCAGGAGCTTACTGGGGTATAAAAAAATCTTCAAAATCTTCTGTCGCATAGATACATCTACCTGGAACCAATCCAGAAGTCTACGCTGCTCTCTCTGTGGGTGGGATGAGATCACGAGTGTGTGTGTGTGTGATGGATTGTGTGTCTGTCTTTGTGTGACAAAAAATCTGTATGTCAGCGTTTAAATCAGTGTGTGTGTTTTGGGCCAATCAGAAGCTACCATGTTGAGATGACCTATTTCTGGACATTCTCCTCAGAAGCCCAGCTGAATATTTCATGTCACACTCTGATTTCTCTGTAGTTGCATCTCCATTCCATCTCCCCCTGGACCTGGGAACACACACATTCACTTAATGTTTGTGTGAGTGTCTCATCTTTTCTTCACACACACACACACACACACACACACACACACACACACACACACACACACACACACCTATTCACTCTCAGAGACCTAACCAGTTCTCCTTAATTAGATATCCATTGCGAAGGTTCTGTGTCGTATGAGTATCTTTCCACCACAAATATTGATCTTAAATATACATCACACCCTTTATGTGTCAGTTGCTCTTGCTTTCCCTTGCAGTTTCTCTTTTCTGCTCGTCATTTACAATCACGTTTTAATTTCTTTTCATATTGAAGTAAATCTGAACTCATCATTGGGAAAATGCTTTCTTCGCCTCCTTTGTTCTTGAATATGTAGCTACAGTGGGCAGATTTGCAGCATACTCACTGAGTTGGATGTCGACATTTCACAAAGTTAGCTGAGTTGAATAGTATGATTAAATCTGCCTGATCTACTCACAAAGAAAAACAGATACAGCATCAAAATCACCTGCCAATGTATGTGTAGGTCCACCTCACCCACACACAGTTCTGTAACCTGGATAAACCTCCTTGTTCTCCTCTGAAACTCAACCTGCATCACTGACATTCAACCATATCTCCTATTGGGCTCCATCTCCTTCATCGCAGCCTTCCCTTCTTTTGGTTGTACCCTTCTCAAGCTCCTTGTGGAGTCCCATCTAATCTGCCGATGCTGTCCACCAGCACCAGCAAAACCCACTTAAGGATCCCATCTCCTCAACACTGGCAGAGGAGATGGGACCCTCCTGTCTCCAGCTAAGCTCCCAGGTGGGCTGTGCTGCTTGCATTTGTCCAGCCTCCCCAGTCAGTAAGCCCACCTTGTGGTTGTGTCTCCACTGCTGGTTTTCACCTTTGCTTCCCTTTTGCTGCCTCCCAGCCAAGTGGGCCCCCTTTTCTCATGTTACGGGAAGTCTTCGCTGCCTCCATCAACAGTTACAAGAGGGACCTCTGGAGAGACCTCTGCTCCGCCTCCAGATTCTCCCCAAAAACAGCTCAGTCTCCACTGCTGGCCTCCTAGCCTGCGCTCAGAACTGGTGATATGTCTTTTATTTACATAAAATACTTTTAATTCAAACACTGATTTGGGTCCAGATTGAAATTTTCTCAAATTTGATGGATGTTTGACAATTATGACACATGGGTTGATACAGTTAGCTGTATCAATAATTGCAGTTGCAATTATAAGCATATCCCTTCTGTCATAGTTTGGTCAGGATTCCCTTGTGTCTTAGTGCAATGCACTAAGTGACCCTTCAAGATAATTTCACAACCTGGAATATGGTCGTAAGCTCTTCAGCAGAACTCCCTCACTGTCTGAGAGAGAGAGAGTGCAAGAGCACATGAAACTGGAAAAGTTTCCCATGTGATCAAGACATCATCAGAAGCACGTTCTGAAAAGTCAAAAACCAAAGTCTAAAAATGGCAGATGCTTTGAGGATTGCTACTGGGTCACATGTTGTCATGAACTTTATTGACTCAGAATTAGCTCTGCAGCTCTTTCTGAATCTGGACCCCTTACCTCATGCCCTGCGTGTCGCCGCCTTGTCAGGACAGTGTCTTCCCGACATTACGCACGTTTCCAAAACCTGGCACACTGTCAGAGATTTGTTTTTTGTTTTCCGAGCCACTCAAACACCGCTAGTTTTGGGGCATCCCTGGCTTCAACAACACAACCCACATATCAATTGGCAGAAGGGATCCATCACTGGGTGGGCGGAGGAGTGCCACATGACTTGCCTAAAAACTACCTCCACTTCCAGCTGGGTGGCCTCTCCATCGGAGCCGCCAGCGTCTTCCGACTTAGCCAACGTTCCCTCGGTTTATCATGACCTTGCTGAGGGTTTTCGCAAAGACCTTGCACAGTCACTCCCTCTGCACCATCCTTACGACTGTGCTATTGACCTGCTCCCCGGCGCTCCATTGCCAACCAGTCGTCTCTATAGCCTCTTCCTCCCTGAGCGAGAGGCTATGGAGAAATACATCTATAAATCCCAGATAACACACACCAATTAGTTAAACTGCAGGAATGTCTTAAAGACATAAAGACCTGGATGGCCGCTAATTTTCTGCTTCTTAATTCAGATCAAACTGAGGTTATTGTACTCGGCCCTGAAAATCTTAGAAATATGGTATCTAACAAATATGTAAGACTTTCTTACATTTCTTTCTTCCATTTGTGCAACATCTCTAAAGTTAGAAATATCCTGTCTCAGAGTGACGCTGAAAAACTAGTTCATGCATTTATTACTTCCAGGCTGGACGACTGCAATTCATTATTATCAGGAAGTCCTAAAAACTCACTGAAAAGCCTTCAGCTAATCCAAACTGCTGCAGCAAGAGTCCTGACAGGGACTAGAAAGAGAGGGCAAATTTCTCCAGTATTGGCTTCCCTTCATTGGGATTCGGGAGACAGACACTATCTCTACTTTTAAGTAGGGCAGGGTATCGCCACTGATTTTTAGAATCGATTCGATTCTGATTCACAAGGTCCCGAATCAATTCGATCCACAATACAATTCGATTCGATTTGAATCGGGGAAATTTTGCCTCAGACAGTCAGAAATATTATAATTCTGATCACATATCAGTACATTTCCATATTTTATATATCTATAAAAAGAAAGCTGACATTTGCGAGACTTTATCAAAGGTGTAAGCAACACAGCAAATGCCTTTGTGTAGCTGAGGATAAAACACAGAAAAACGTGAAGGAGATTTTCCTGGCCTGGGATTTTATACAAATATTCTGCAGTAGATCAAAAACGAAAGAAAACCATTACCATAATCAACATATGAACATTAGCTGATGCTGCTGAAGTGAAGCAGAGCAAAGTTGCAGAGGCTTTATTAGAGACACAGCCAAGTGTTTTGCAGTTTTGCGTAATTTTAAAAAGTTTAAATTTGTTCAGCAGCCTATTGAATGGTAGAAATGAGGCTTTCTTTTCAGAAGTAAGTAAAAGGAAAAAAACAGCGGCCGACAGCGCTGTAAACAACAGAAGACTTGTGCATAATAAGCAAACAAATAATGCAGAAAACTGATTTTTAGACGGGAAACTGTTCTTGAGGTACAGAGAGAGAGAGAGAGAGGGAGAGACCCCGAGCTCTGCATGAAGTGTGATTTTATCCTGGTGGAAGCAAAACAGCAAAAGTCAGAGGGAATTCACGACGATGTCTATGTGAAGCGTAGTTTGGATCTTCTTTTGCTGCTGGTTCAGTCAATATTGTTTGGAGAGAGATAAAACTAACAGCTTCAGAATCGGCGCAAAAAGGACAGAAACACAAAGTGCAGACACACCGAAACATCAGAATCAGCGGTTCTGCTGGAGGTTTCTTCCTGTTAAAAGGGAGTTTTTCCTTCCCACTGTCACCAAAGTGCTTGCTCATAGGGGGTCATATGATTGGTGGGTTTTTCTCTGTACATGTCCAATATAAAGCGCCTTTAGGCGACTGCTGTTGTGATTTGGTGCTATATAAATAAAATTGAATTGAACTGAATTATATACCTAATGTATACAAAATAGCAGAACTTGAGCCTAGATTACTATAGTCACTTAATTGTAGTGATTTAATTGGAAATCAGATTTGTCTTGTTTCACAATAAGTCAGTGTGAAGACGTAAAACCTTGTATAAATGCTGTCTGGCT